ATCTCAAAACATGTCTGGTACCCCTCCCTCTGATGTTTTCAAACGCCTATAGTACCGCTCCTTATGGTGTCTACACAGCTCTATTATCTTTCCTGTTGTTGTCAACACACGTCTACTACCCTCTAGTTGATATTGAAACACGCTATGTACCCCTCTAGCTTATGTCGAAACATTCTGAGCACCTTTCTATCTGATGTCTAAACATGCCAAATACCCCTCTAACTGATGTCTAAACNTATACAGTACTGTTAGGTAGTATATAGTACTGTTAGGTAGTATACTCTACTGCTAGGTAGTATACAGTATACAGTACTGTTAGGTAGTATACAGAATTATCATGGTTGATATAGGTCGATTTTTCATAGTTATATTTTCTTTTGTGTTTTTTCACTTTTTTATTAAGGATTTTTGATTTGTTTAATTTTGATTGCAGATAAAATGAATTATTTTTTATAAATTTGATCGCATAATGTATGATTTTAACATGAACATTTATTGCTGACCATAGGACACTTTTTGAAAGAATCAACTGAATAAGGAAATTACTTTAATATCATTATTATTATTTTATCAGAATAATGTCTTAATAGGATTTCGCCGTTGTGAAATTATCCAGTCAAATTGATAAGTTTAAAATAGGTTAAACCCCAATTAACATTTCATTTCAAACAACATTAAATTCGCCGTTCGCTATGATCATTATTTTGTATTATTTATATCGAATTTATTCTTGCACTTGGAATTTGTGCTGATGTTTATCTGAATTACAGATTTTAAAACACGTTTCTAAAATATAAAGAAATCTTTAATCAATACCTACGTTTTGTATTTAACCGAAATGAGCAAGCAGAATTTCTTATATTCCGTCTTTTATACAAACCGTTACGATGTATTCGCTGCTGAAAAATCGTTTTGTTAATTAGATGCAAAGTGGGCGGGACGTTTCTCGACCGAACAAGCTATAAATTAATCGCCTCGCGATCTAATGAATAATCAATGAGGTTTTGCGTGAAGTCTGCGGACAACGAGCCTGGCCTTTCTCTCTTTAGCGGCTGGACTGTAAACATAAAAACATTCGGTCAAATATCAACAGGACAAAACACAAAAAGTGACCATTTAACAGCACTGGACACGCGTAAATAAATAAAAACAGAGGAATTGAAATTGATACAAGAACCACACGTAAAGAGCCGACAACGACTGGCCTTTGTAAGGATTTAAATCTTGCTGTGAAAATCAATACTAACAAATATGTACGATTGCATAAATTTGAATTTTACAAATGTACTTTTAGTTAAGTTCAAGCAGAACAAATTAATTTGATTATTTTCTGAAAATATTCTTTTCTCTTAATATTAATATGTATATTTCCCACTACGATATCAACGTACGAAAAGCATTTAACGCATCAAAATATTTTTGGATATTTTTCCCCCATAAGATAATTCAAATATCAATTATCTTAAAACTACAGCGAGATAATTATTTTATTTTGCATTTGAGTTGTTTTAATAATCTAATATCTCTTTTAAATGTGACATCAAATTATATATTTTTCACATCAAATTATATTTTTCTAAATTTCCTTCTTATACTTTTTAAGAAGACAGTCATAAATTAAAATTTAAGCAATGATTTGAGGAATACACGAATACAATCAACCTGGAGATTTTTTAGAATTATATAACCGAGTTTTCATCAACACCACACAGTCCCCCCCCCCCTCCCCCCTCCCCGACCCCCCTGCTGGCTGAGTGATGCGGTTGTAAAGCTATAATTAATACGTACAGTCCTAAGGGATGGTTAAAAAGGCCAGATAGCCGTTGATAACTAAAACTCCGGGTGTCTATTTACCTCGGTTTAAATCCCGAAGGGATAAATAATTTGCTTATTTTTTTCTACAATTGAGATTTCCATGACTTCACACGTTTAAAAAAAGAGCGGAATTCGATCTTGTTTCAAACAATTGGAACAAGTTGCTTTAGTAATGCGATCTACCCCGGATAGAAGCCCTCAACACCTATTTTGCGATCTGTAGGGGGATCGAGGGGGTAATTTCCTTCCTGTGGTGTATTTGTAAAGGGCAGTGTCGACACCCGACTAGGGCTTTACGTAGTCCCTCTGTGGGGACATCGTCGTTTCCATGGATACAGATTACAGAATGTCAGAAATAATATGACACCCACAAATAGCCGGATGCTATTTGTAGCTAAATACTTTTTTCTCCTTTGTCATAAGTTCACATCATTTTCTTATCATTTCTTGAACTACTGAAAAAATATATCAACATTGACATTTTCTGTTCTAAGAAATGGCAAATGGAAATGAAATTTGAACTCGATTGAAAAGTTTTCTTCAAATATTTTGATACCTAAGTTTTGATAATATTTTAAGATTCAGATTGTTATTTTTAATAGTATGGTGAAAAACTGATATATATTCATGGAAATAATACCAACAGTTTGCCCGGATGTTTTATTTCGCATGTACGTGTTTTTGATGTTGTTATGTGTTTAGCCACATTGAGTTAAAAATAAAGAAAAAAGTGAACTAATGAAAAACTGTACCTGTGTATCATTTTAACATACATCAAACGTACCCCCTAGTATATCGATTGTTAGATAGGGGGGGNCTGTATCAGTCAATGACCACAAGTCCTAATGGGTTATCATCGCTGTCCTTTGTCGCTCTCCAAATCACAGGTAAATGTTGATAAAACAGGTATATATATATATACACATATCTACCTATTTGTCTTAACGTACCACACCTGGCCAGTGGGCATCGGATGTGAGACACATAGGGTGCCTATTCTCCCCCTCCAGATCACTTTTCTAGAAATAAAACACAAAACATCTCCTAGCCCATAGCCAAGACGGAATAGATAACAAATTCGCGGCGTGTTTTATTTTCCTGTGTAATTTTTTCTCACCTTAGAAAGGTGAGATGTATACGCAGTGAGGTGGTATAGAATCGCTTGCCTTTGTTATCATCTTCCGCGCTGCTGAACATCTTGGATGATAGCGTACCAGCGAGGTGACTTTAATTAAAATTTCCCCACTTCTTCCTCCCCCTATAAAGTTGTATTCCGATTCCAATACGGGACGTTATAGTATCATAAGATGTTGAAACGCAATATGTTTCGGAGAATTTCTTAAAATATGAGTTTAAAATCCTTTTATGGTCATTGAAGCAAAGCACTTTACATTGAAACGATGAACGTTTTGTGGTCTCGTACACTGTACAGGGTATATAGGGATAGTCGAGGCGCATTAACTGTCAGTCAAACCAATATCACTACTCTCACTTGCTAAAAATCCTTATCCGTATAATATACATGTGCTCTAATATGGGAACCTAAATTCTAGTCCAAAAGCGGAAAATTATTTGTGTGTGTACATCGACAGCAAGCTGCGAGTATGTGTTTGTTTTGGAGTCGTGTCATTATCCAAGCGAGCACATGGCTTCTAGTTGTGTGATATCGAACGGGCCGGGCTTAACACCCATCAGCCAATCAGAAGACGGAGACAGCGACTCGTTGTAAATTTAATGGTCCGTTCATTGTCAATCATGAGGACGTTAGCCAATCCTCGTCTCGTTAAGGCTGGCATCAATCATGGCAATGATAATACGCTAGCCGGCTAAGGTAAAGAAATGCTTCGTCTCTCTCGTGTTATGCATAACCCATAAGATAGCGAGTGGAGTCGGGGCGGTTTTGCAAGTCAGATAAGGTGCTTGCTACGATCGTGTGTTGCCTTATGTGAACCATATACCTGATACATGTAAATGTGAAGTATTAACAAGTCCGCATGATAATGGCTACGAGTGCTAGTCTGTATCTGGCTTCCAGTACACCTCCGTCGCTCAACAACTCTCATCTCGACCCGACCCACGGGATGCAGGGACTTGTGTCACAACAAACACAGTATCATCACCGGAACACGGATTTACAGGAAATTAAGTACATGCCGCCACAGCATCAAAATGGACATCACTTGAGTCAGCTTCACAACCAGTGGGGGCTACCGTGTGGCGATTCCTGGGGTACCTCCGCCATGCCCCAGCTCCAGGATATGCGAGATATGAGGGACATCAAACCCAACCCCCAGGTAACAACCGACGGGCACCACGCTACTCTCCATCACCGACCACAGCAACTTCACTCCCCACACACATGGCATTCACAGCTATCCTCCCCCCACCTCAACCTTTCCAACGGGGGTGGCCAGTTACAGCAAATGGGGTACGGCGTCCCTATGAACGGGATGTTGTCACCCCATCAGCTCCACCCGGCAATGCGAGACCCGGAACACGATATGGACCAGCATGCCCAGGGGTCCGACGATGATGCACCGTCCTCGGATGATTTGGAAGCTTTTGCAAAACAATTTAAACAGAGGCGGATAAAGCTCGGATTTACACAAGCTGACGTTGGGCTCGCTCTGGGAACTCTTTATGGTAACGTGTTTAGTCAAACAACTATTTGTCGATTTGAAGCATTGCAATTGAGTTTTAAGAATATGTGTAAATTGAAACCTTTACTTCAAAAATGGTTAGAAGAGGCTGATTCCACGACGGGATCGCCAACAAACATAGACAAAATCGCCGCTCAAGGTCGTAAACGAAAGAAGCGCACAAGTATAGAAGTTACTGTGAAAGGTGCTCTCGAGAATCACTTCATGAAACAACCGAAACCATCGGCACCGGAAATAACACATTTAGCAGACCAGTTACAACTGGAGAAAGAGGTGGTCCGTGTCTGGTTCTGTAACAGGAGACAGAAGGAGAAGCGAATGACCCCGCCCGGGCCCCTCGGTCCGAACGGAGAAATTCTTATGCCGGAACAGGGGTCTCCGGAGAGCCCCAATGGGCCCGGAAGTCCCCTGTCTAATGGGTCGAATGGACAAATGGGGGGCAACCCCGGAATGGGGATGAACATGCCGGTGAGTTCGCCCTCCCTATCTTCCTCTCACGGACTTTCTCAAACTGGACACATAGTTAGTCAATTGATGAGTGGCCATCATCAGCCCCCGCCTCACCATCACTACAACCCACAGAATCACTCGCCTACCCATTGACTAGAGGATGTTCCGTTTTAGGACAAGGATAACGCCCCAAGGACAATTCGGTCATTGTCACGCGCTGACCAGTCATCACACTGACCAACAGGTAAAATATATACATACGACAAACGAAATATGTGCTAAAGAAAATGTTTTCACAACTTGAACGCGTATCGCTCCATCTTTATTATTATACAGAGACTGTCCCGAGAGTGGACAGTCGTAAAACGGACAAGGACTATACCTGTGTGTGCTCTAGACATGGCCTGGTCATCGCCGAATGACCATGGGGTGTTAGAACTGACGGCAGCTGACCACATCTCCGGACTCTATGGACAAGTGACAGGTTGATTCCGTGCTCATGTCATTTTAGAGCTGTGATTTGTATCGAATTGATGGATGTACTATCTTGAGCTGGACACTTCGGCCAGTGTCCACTACAGTAGTGTCTATCAGATCAACAGACTGGTCACCTAGAACGGAACAATTGCATCGGACAGGAATATTAAAGGTCAAAGTTATGACCTCCTTCCAAAGTCAGGTATGGAACAACGTTGATTTTGTGGGAATTTAGGGGCAAGTGAAAAAGACTGTAGCTCAAGACCTGTTTATATGATAAATGAACCACCATTGAATTAAGGAAACCGTCGGGAGGTTCAAATATCCTGATTTTCCACACCGATCGGGAAAATGTTGCTCTTTTAATTAGGGCAAGACAATGGGTATGATGATTGGGCAATTTCTTTGATGAAATGTCTTAGAAAAATGGTGTGCAGCAAAAAATATTACACTTTGAAATTCATCTCAGATATTCTGTGGACAGTTTTTTTTGTTATATCGGTTTCATAAGAAGAAATCTGTGCTAAAAATGTTCAGTGCAGTATTCAGGAATTTTTCAATTAGGATGATGATGTGTGTGTGTGGTTACTGTTTGCTCTTCTCATGGTCGGAGCGTGCTAAACCCTCCATGTTTGAGAAAGTGTGATTCGACCAGCCGATTAATTTTCAATTCTACCGGATCCATACTGTTGATATACAAGGGGGAAAAGATTGGTTCGATGTTAGCTCAATTTCCAATACTAGTCGTGGTCGCGACACTTTCATAAGTGTGATCTCTTTGTATAAATAGCTGTGCAAAGTTGACTTAGTGTCTAAGAGGGGTATCAATTTCTACAAGAATCACGAACCTCAAAGATTAACACAGCTAACAAACACTATTTTTTTGATGAACCAATCTTTTAGAGATACAAGGCCATACGAAATGTGTTGTACATTTTTGTTTGTTTATAATGTTTTAATTTAAAACAAACCTCGAAACGGGTTTCAAAAACCTGATCTTATTAGCTGCTGTTTGCACTCGGAAATTGATTTTTATTTCTCTGGAAATTTAATTTTCAACACATACGATTGCAGATATCAAGTTTAAATTGACAAAGACAAATTTTCTTCCATTTTTGAAAGCTGACATAATTTTGTTTACATCTACCATTTTGATATTAGTCACAGATTTTGAATTATTAGTGCTATGATTTTAAAATAATAATTGTCTTTAAAAAGTTCAACCAATCCCATTGTCATATTAGTATGTTATTGTAATATTCCAGATTTATCCGTTTTTAAAACGATAAACCATGAAATGCATTGTGGCATTCCAGATTTTTAAATTTATTAAGGAAAACTATATTTATTTGTATTTTAAATACATTTTTTATTCCATAAATTCCTTAATGAATTTAAAATTATCAGCTTATTTAATTCCTTTATCATTCTGATCAAGGTTATCACATTCCTCTTATCTGAATGAAGTAATAATACAAGTTTTATGAACATTTTACATCAATTTTCAGCATTTATAATTTTTCTCCAGGTGTATTTAATGCTACCATTGATGAATTTGGTATATAGAGTTCCAATTTTGAGAAATTTGAAATATTATGGTGTGATTATAGTATAATAATTCCATTTTAAGTTATATAATATTATATTATAATATAGCTTTTGAAAAATATTCCTTTGTTTTTTATCAATGTCTATTGCACCCATTGAACTAGGTGTGAAGGTATGTGTTTTTGTTGAATGAATGAACGGAATGGCTGAAGTGATTTTGTCGTTTAATCTTATTCAAATGATGTATCTTGGAATTCTAAATGATACCGTCATTTTTTTGCCAGTAAATAAATATTTTTACAAGTGCACATCAGACCTCAGAAATTATATTTTAAGAAAACTCACTGCTTTTATACCTTATCGGTTTAAAATATGAAAATGGCTGTTATGAATAAAACACACAATATATACTCTGTTTCTCATACTAAAAAAGAAGAAGATTAAAGACAAATAACTTGGGTTTTGTACCTAATTATATATCCCGGTTTAAAGTTAAAAGCAACATGTCGATTTCAAATGACTAGAATATTAATCAATGTTCAATTCAAATCGCATTTCTTGTGTTGATTTTCAAACTGAATTTAAATATTTGTTTTGTCGTTTTGAACCCTCCGAATGTTTTCAGCAATGGCTAACATAAGCGTAGACAAATACATGCATATATACACTTAAACACGTACTATAAATAATATACGAGAGAAGCACCTTATATTTTTGTGTATATTTCATAACTGCCGTTTTAACAGTCTGGCTACGTGAAATCAAGGATGCATGGTTGATGAATGGGGGCCAACATATACGAACCAACGTCTGCCAGGGAAAATACGGGATGATGATGATGATGATAGTCGGGTACCGGGCATTAATATGAGGGCTTAATAATGCCAATGAAATTGACGTCGGCATGTTTTATTTCAGCGCTTGTGTTTATTTTTTTGGTGAAATGCTCACTTTACATAACGTGTTATCTCCCACAATATCCTGGTAAATATGACACACTTGTTTATGTAAAGCGTGGTCCTAGATAATTTTATTTCGTCCGGAAAGACCTATAACTGTCATCTAGGCCTACACTGTACAGCGTCGAATGAACTCTTATATATACTTGCATTAGCCGTTGGGTATATTGAATGTGTGTATTCGATGGTGACGGTCGCTACTATTTCACTTCCCCAGGGGTACCTATATACTGTGGGCTGTCATTGGAATACGTGTCGAGTCTTTACATAGCCACACATACACACACCTTTTTGCGCGATAAACTTAAGCTCAGCTAACGTCATTGTGAAAGACGTAATTCAAAAACGATTAAAAGTGAATCCTGCAGACGACATGTTGAATAGTATTTTCTCTTCTGCCGTATGATATGATCGAAGGAGACTGTTGATTGTAATTTTGATGATTTGATTGATTTGCTTTAGGTCATCTAAGGTCACATAACGACGAAACTATTGTGACCCCTATTTTTGTATCATCATCTGTCGAATATATTTCATTCACCAAACATATTGCACGTTAACATACTTTGATTGATACCGACACCCTGAGAACAAGTTAAACACAGAATGCCCTTCTATTGGTACACAAATATAAACAAACGTCAAAAACTTAAATCAAATAATATACAATCCAGGAAGATTTTAAGAGATGTCTCTAGCAATAAGTTAAGTCTAAATATAGTTTTAAATCCCTGACATTTTTGTAGAAGGCATATCAACACGGATCACACCTCACGATGATGAATGTAGCCCACTTTAAGACGTCTGGTCCAACTTGATCGTATTATGATGGTATAGTATGGCTTCTCGTAGGTAAATCTAATAACATGGCTGGCTGCCTTTTACTAACTTGTCCTACTCGAGTGAGATTTGATGTCCCACACACCGGTCTAACACCTTCACAACTTGCCGTATTATTTACCTACACGTAAGGTAAAAATCTACGTATACTAAACCCTTTGCTCTGTATGTATGTGTACTTTGACTTTTTTTGGCAGAGTTTGTAGACAATCTTAAAGATTTTTTAATATGTTGCTCGCGTAAATTCTGTTAAATTACTAAAGCTGATATTTCTGTGTTAAACATCTTTACTTATCTTTGTATGTAAATCGTTTTAATATTTTCTTTTCTAGATACACTATTTTGAGGTCACCTTGGTGGATTAAACATCTGTAATTTGCCATTTCTTCGTAAAACATTGATAAACCTTCTGTAGTTTACCTTCCAGTGTAGGCCATACGTACTCAACTTTACTGTGAAAAACTGTGGTTTACCTTATAAGATATACCATCCACAGTTTACCCGGTATCAGTAAATCGTCTGTAATTTACCCATTCTTGGTAATCTCTTAAGATTAACCCTGTAAGAGTAAAACATAAATGCGTTATTTATTCGTTTGGATGTTTACAATTCTTAGTAAATCATGTGTACTTCTCTCTGAAAAAATCTCGTTAAAATTCTAACCGTAAATACTGAAAGAAACTCCACCCATGAAGCGATATCTCAGATCTCCAACAAACCCTGAGCTGAAATGCTGTTGTATAAGGCTGTGATGTCTGAGGGACAGACACAACAAAAATTTCAATTTTATTTGATCACTAACAGTTCGTCTTTGCTTTCACCCCAAGTCTTAAAAACTATATATTTTTATAGCTAGTCTCAACTTAGCGGTTGTATGGTTTACTGCCCATTTAAATCCTATAAAAATGAAAATAAAACAGGTTTGGTTTTTTAAACCCCATTTTCATTTGAATCTGTCCCTCTGTATATCGGCCATTCCTTAGCTACCGTTTCCGCACCCGGAGAATCCAAGTATTTGTCATGTATGTTCAGAATCCGTTTGAGATCGTAAAACACAATTTAAAACGTCGAAGAAAGAGTTTGATAAGTTTTTTTAAACGGTTATGTAGTGAAAACGCTTCCTATATACCTTAAAATATTAATAATAATTTAGTAAATTAATTGTTTCGACTGAGATGAACTCAACAATGCCATGTGACAGATACCTGTAAAACTACTGTCACTAAAATCTGACAAAATTACTGCATATTTTGAAATGACTATATAGTTGATGTGTTGTAATAAATCTGTACATACCTCGATCCCTGGCCCACTACCTCTCCCCGTAACAGCGAGGTAAACAGGTCAGGAAACGAGGATGGCACACGAAAAGAACATTCCCATATATCAACAGGCCTTTTTATGGAACATTACTTATACAACATGTGCCAATTTGATATTCCTCAACAGAATTCACAAATGATAAATATGCTGGCCTGACTTGGACGTAACAATAAGAAAATCACTGCATTTTGGAGACAACAATAGTAAAAAGAGAATTGAAACAAATTTTTGAGAGAAAGATTAAGGGATTGAATATTTAAATCTTCAAAATGGTTTCGACTTAACTTGTAAAAATCATACCCTTTTTATGAAAATTTACGTTTAAATTGTAGATTTTAGCAATGTTTGAATAATTTATTATAAAATTAGAGTTTAACTTAAGTGGGTCCATTGAAATATTTAGATGATAGATCCTTCTTTTAAATGAATCGGGGAAATAAAAAATATATATGTATGACGAATTAAAACGCATCATAATTCCAAGTTTTGAATTTTTCGAAACTGAACAAGAGTGACATATTGAATGTACACTTTAAACCATCAACATGCTAACATTATATTTGTCTAAAACCAGTTCCAGGTGCTTGGCGGGTAAGATATGAGAATGAGCCCCTCCTTCATCCTTATGTGGGGGTCATCCACAAATTCTTCCCCTCCCAGCCTCCGGATCTGGACCGCTTGTGTCGATACCACACACACTACGAACTAGCTTTATACTAAATCAGTCGTTTCGCACTTCACCTGATGAAATTGACATTATCAAAGGCCTAAGTGACACGCATATCCACTGGTTGTCGTTTTCCTTATCGTCGCAGCTATCGTCTAACTAGGAATTCAATTACTTTAATTTTCTATACGTTTGACTCTGACGCAACTTACGTGCAATGATTTCCCGGCATCCTTTATTTTTCATAATTAATTTAATATGGTAAATTAAATAAAACAGAATAAAAGAAGTGGTACTATAAAGGAACACGCAGACAGATAGCATCAGAGCGAACCGGTAACTACATAACTACATGCAAACTGATTCTGTACCCATGTTCTCAGCCACCAGGCTTCCTTTCCTAGGATAACACCATGTGTGTATCTTGTCTCTATATTTCTACAAATACACAATGGCAATGACAGAGATTTTATTCTCGCAAACTTGTTGCAACGTAGATAATTTTACAAACTTACATCAATAGATTCTAAATATTATACATCCGTACTAATTAAAAGTGATACTCCGTTCTCCTATGAACCTGACAAATTCGGCAAGTGACATTTTTTCCTAATTTGTTACAGAGATGAATTTAAAAGAACTGGGTCTTTTAAAATAATATCTAAATACAAATTTCCTTTTTTATAAATACAATTTGGCGGTCTTACAAGTGATATTATTTCATAATTTGTTACATAGTTGACGGTCGGTACAATTGAACAATAATGAAACTCGTCTCCAATTTCATTAAGTTAACAAAGATTACAGATGCTATTTTCTCTAGGTATAAAATATGGCAGATATTTTGTCCTGTGAGTGACATCAAAGTGGTAACATTACCTAACAAAACCTTATTAGGATTCTACTTCCGTACTATACCGTGTTACTGTCTGAAATTATACCACTGGTGTAACTCACTTCAATACAACACTTAATATTGAAGAACTTGTAATCTTACAATCCCTACGGTTCGTTTAAAAAAAATAGGAAATATTAATCAATCGATAATTGTGCTAGCCAAACTGAATTGTACTTAGGCGGTATTATTGTTGTTCTGGGCACTTAGAGTTGTAAAATAAGCTATTTGATGTTATTCGACAAAGTTCTACAAGTATATTGACTTTATTTCAACAAAAATAACAACAAGACAGTTCAATTAGTCTTCATTTGTTTATTATTACACTGAAGTACAAAATTAATTAAAATTTATTTCAATCTGAATTAAATTAATAAAACTAAGACACTCAAAATATTCATTTTCCAGAAAGTAAAAATAATTGTCCTTGGCCAATATACATGAAATACGCAAATTTATGCAGATTTTTTCTCTTCAAAATATTCTTTTTGAAGAAGAAAACAAATACTCATTCAGTTGGTACTGAAGTCTAAAATTAATCCATGTGACTTAGCTCACTTGGAAGAGGAATTCGATATATACCCTCTTCAGCTAAGATGTAATTTTGTCGATAAGTTTGATCAAT